TTATCCTATAGACTTCAATGTAAATTCCCCACATCCCAGAGTTCCTTGCCTGTGTTCTCTCTAAACCTCATGCTTTCTGAATGAGCCTGATTGCAGCAAGCCAGTATGCAGTCATGTGTGGGAGGCTCCATCACTGGACTGAAGGTGGAGCACAGACATGTCTCAGATTCTTTCGTTGATGGCCTCCCCTGTTTCCTTCCCATTCCTAAGGGTATTTTCCCCCCAGTTTATGTCCAGAAATACAACATGATTCGTGGTGTCACCCTTGCATGCAGATAAACATCGGCTTCCCACTGTTAGGTCAGACACCACTTGGCTGTCTCCTATTCTCCAAAAGTTTGTGCACCTCTCTGGGATGCCATGGCCGGCTCTCCCATTCTGGTTCTTATGGGTTTGTACAGTGATTATTCTTCTGTGCTTTAGGGGGACCTTGGACAAGAGCAGGAACAGGCATAGATATGTGCCATTTACTTTGTTATGCATGGTGCCAAGTGCTCACGGGTCAGTACTCAGGGCTTTTGAAGCATGAGGTGGTAGCCTCTGGCCTCTTCTATGGCATATATTTAAGAGGAGGATTAAAAGTTTAGCACGCCGGGCCTGGGGGTGTCACTCAGTCGGCAGAGTGCTTGCCTAGCCTGCAAGAAGCCCCGTGGGTCATCTCTCTGTCCCAGGCACTGTGTAAATCAGGTCTGGTGGAATGTGCTTGTCATTCCAGCACTCAGGAGCTAGATGGAAGAAGATCAGAAATTCAAAGCCATTCTCTGTTAGGTAGCTAGTTAGAGGCCACCCTGGGATAGTTGAGACCCTGCTAAATAAGCGAACTTACTGGCAAATCAGGTAAAGAGCACACAGGGTTATGTCCTGAAGGAGAACTGGATATGCATGTGTAGAAGGGAGAGGGATGTTCTAAAGACCCTGAGGCTAGATTTGTTCTTCAGTAAAGAAAGACCAGGCTGGACAGCATTTCCTGAATTTGCTGTGGAAAATCAAGAGTGCTGCATTATAGACATACAAGTGGCAAAGATAAAGAGTTAGAAGAAGATGGCCACGTTAAGTATTTGGGCTTTTACCGTGAGCCTCAGGCAGCTGCAGCTGAGTTATCTGCTAGCCCCACATCTCAGGAACCCGAGCTCTTTAGGGATCAAGACCATGATTTCTACCTGGTAGTTATGAGCATTAGATAATCTCGTACATGTTTTGTCCACTTAAACCTGGCACATTCACTTGTGGACTTCACTCTTCTCTGACAGTGACACATTGGTGTATGCCCTCAGGAGAACTATGTAATCGATGTGTCAGGGTGAGAGGTAATCTTTTCAGTCAAGTAAAGAGAAGGTATAAAGAAAGAGACAGGCAGGAGACATTGTTCTGGATCCAGAGTCGAGTAACAGGGGAGTTTCAGTTGTCTACACCTGGGGTCAGGTGGATTATGAGGGAGCATGAAAGGAAACAGTGTGATAAGGCTCTAGCTCTGTGTAGGGCAGGCTGACTGAGGATGATTGAGTGGAAACTAACCAAGCAGTTATAGAGGAAGCAGGCAACAAGGATCATAGAGTGGTTCTGCACACTTTCATGTCTGGCAATATAAGCTCATGTACATCTCTATAAGCTCTCATGTTTAAAAAAATAATAATAAATTTCCACTCAAGAAACAGAGGCAGGAGAATTGCCTCAAGTATGGGCCAACCTGGTTTACATAGCAAGTCTAAGCCAGCCAGGTCTACCTAGCAAGACCATGTCTCAAAACAAGCTAGTGAGCAGACACAGGTTGACTGAGACATCGGGGTGTGGCCTGAAGTAGAGCTTATGTTTACTCTTCACGGGCTCCTTCCCCAACAGGGAAACACAAAGGGGGGGGGAGTGTGCTAGGGATGAGAGGCTCAGCTGTTAAGAGCCCCTGTTCTTGCACAGGACCCAGGTTCAGTTCCCACATATACGTGGTGGCTCACAACCATCTGTTACTCGAGCTCTAGGGGGATCCAGCACCCTCTCTGGCCTCTACCAGCACCAGGCATGCACATGGTCACATACGTACATAACGTGCAAGCAAACACTCATACACATAAATTAAATCTTAAATAATTCTTAGAATGTGCAAAATGTATGGATAATGTGCAGTAACTTGTGCAGATATCTAAGAATGTGTTAAACACATAAATGATGTACAATGAGTTAGTGAAGAGGTGGTTCTTGTCTTCAAAGAACTCTCCACCACAGTTAGTGGCCCGCTAGCCTAGCACTGCACCAAGGCCTGGACTCAGCCTTGCAAAGCCCCATGGATGTGGAAGTCAGCCCCACCGCTCCAACCCTGCTGCCCCTCTGCTAAAGGAAATCACAGGCATCACAGGTCTCAGCTGATGCCCACCCCGCCCCCAACGTGTTAATCAAACAAAATGGTCACCGTGGATCATTTCTGGGGCTTCCAGAATCCACTGTAGGTTCTCAAGGTGCAGACATACTCAGAGGCTCCCAAATTTCTAGTTGCCAGATATGTTCAGGCTGTGAAGTTACCCACAAAAAAGGAGTACAGCTCAGGCAATATTGATGTGCTCTAAAGTAATTGTATTATTTTTTTTACAGCTCTCTAGAAGCTTGGGGTAATAAATTGTAGAAGCTGGCATCTGCCTAAATTTTTTTAAAAAATTGCATTTATTTAATTTATTTAGCGTGTGTGTGTGTGTGTGTGTGTGTGTGTGTGTGTGTGTGTGTGTGAACACAGCTTGCATGTGGAGGTCAGGAATCAACTTGTGGGAGATTCTCTCCTTCCACCACGTGAGTCTTGAGGGTTAAATTCGGGTCTTCAGGTTCTCGTCTGCTGAATTTTGATCTTCAAGAATTTCAAAGAGAATACACATACCCTAGAGAGGTAGTGGGTTTTAATAAAGTATTTCAACATTGTTAATACACAGATGTGTAGTGGTGGAGAGAAATGGGCCAAGTGCTGGAAACTGAGACCGAGACATAGTGGCTCTCCTTGAATAATTCCGTGGCCTAGCTCCCAGGTGGGAACCAGCGACTCCGGGCAGGGACCATTCCATGTCAGGGCTCATTAGGCAGTGAGCAGGTAGTCCCAAGACTATGAGCCTGACAACCGTGTCCTGAAAACTCACTGAAAGCTTTTCATTTTTATTCCTGACCCATTCAAAAGATGGTGGAGGAAACGGAAAAAGGCAATCATAATAAAATAATATGTAAAAGCTAACCAAATAACACTGGTAGTCGGCAACAGACAGTATTTAAAGCCAGGAAGCTTCCAAATGGGTCTGTGTAAATTAACCTCATGGAAACATGCACCTGTCTAGACCTGCCTGTGTCACTACGGCAATGGATATTTGATTGGACTGAAATTTTCTATTTCCTTTTTGGTAGAAAATCATACGGGCTTGGCTGAGAATGTAACTTGGTTGGCAAAGTGCTTACCTAGTGTGCAGATACCCCTGGGTTGCACTCGCAGTACCACATAAACTGGGTATGGTGGTCTGTAATCCTAACACTGAGGAGGTTGGAGCCAGAGAATTGGAAGTTAATGGTCATCCTCAGCTACTTAGCAAGTTCGAGCCCAGCCTGGGATACATGACAAGATATATATCAAAAACATAAAGACAGCTGTGTATAGAAATCAAGTATCAGATCCTGTTTATCTTGCCCCGAGAAGTTTGAAAAACAGGAGTTAATTCCTGAACTTGAGAGACCAGTTATTTGACCTATTTTTAAAATATATATATCTTATTTGGCACCTCCTTCTAAAGCAGTAGGAGAATGTGTTTCTTCCCTTCATACCCTGATTACCCTGAAGTCCCTTTCCTCAGTCGGTGTCAGCAACACACCCACCCACAAGTCAATGGTGGCATCATTGAAATGACACAAAGTTCCCTTGAACGTGAAGGCCTGCAAGGCATTCCTGGAGTTTTCAACAGATTGGGGGGAGGGGGCAGTAAAAGCAATTGCTCTCAAATGTTTGGTAACATGAGTAGCACACAGTTCATTCCACAATCCTAGCTGGGTGTAGGGGAGATGAGTGAAACTGGACCATAGGAACGGTGGTTGCCAGATGAACCGCTCCAGTTTTTATGTGCATCTCTTATTCCCCAGCCCTTATTTTAGCCATCACCAGCTTGCCCCATCTATTGCCTATGTTCCTCCTGGGGTACAATAAGAAGAAAGAAATCCTGAACAACTTCGATAGAAAGCAACATAGAACTGCACCAAGAAGGATGGGAGCAGTCAGATAACAGCAAAAAGAAAGGAAGAGATCGGAAAAGGAAGGCTAGAGGAGAGCCTGCCGGGGAGGCCCGGGCCGGGGGAGGATTCACAGAGGGCTGGAGGTGAAATGTACGGGAAAGGGGAAGGAGAGAAACTAGTGAATGAGGGAAAGAAACTCAAGAGGTTGTGAGAGGGAAGGGAGAAGATCAGTAAGATGGGAGTCCATCCAGCTTTAAAGTGCTCCCCCTGAGCTGTGAACGTGGGTCTGATGAAGACGGAATGCCGGGGGTCATCTAATGTGATGACTTATCCCCAACGCATGGATGCTGTTTGTCCTGAGGTCATCACCTTCAGCTGTAAATGTCTTCATTCTTATTAATAAGGCAGTGAAGCCTTAGGTGCACACATGGCTCAGCAGAGACAACTCTGTCCCTTAGTTCAGCTGCTTCTTGCCCCTCTCCCCCTTGTGCTGGGCAGGAGTGATACCTGCAGGTGTCCGTTCTGCTGTGTCTTATGTCTGCAGACCCTCCCAGTCTCCCCTGCCAACCTGAAAGCTCTAGTTTCTGCTCTTGCTTGAAGTAAGCAATGGACAAGAATAGTTAAAGCTCTGGCGAGATGGTCCTGGGTATAGTAGTCAGCACCAACCCTGCTTTTATAATTCCTTCTGGACCCTAGTACCTAGAGTAAGAATCAACAGAGGTTGAAATTGGCATAGTAGCTTTTTGGGTTATGTTTTTATGGACCCAGGAAGAAAACCACATCTTTAAGGTTTTGTTTGTTTATTTTCTTTATGTGTCCGTGTGCGTGCGTGTGTGTGTGTGTGGGGGGGCATAAGCACAAAGTCAGAAGACAGCTTTTAGGAGGAGCCTCTCCTTCTACCATGGGTTCTGAGGACTGAACTCAGATTGTGGGGCCAGCTCACAAACCACATTTTTAGAAAAACAAGAAGGGCAGTTGTGTTGATGCATTTATGAGGATCCTGAGTGGCTTGGGTACGTCAGGGATGGAGGGTGCGTGTGTGAATATCAGTTGGTGTCAGTGGCTCTACAATCCCAAATAGCATCAGTGTGTCGAGACCCATGCTTCCTAAATGGCAACAAGGAGAAAGAACGTCGGGTATGTTGGCACACCTCATACTCCAGACATCAAAGAGCTAGAGCCCAGAGGATCAGGAGTTCAATGCCAGTCTCTACTATGTAGTAAGTTTGAGGCCAGCCTGGGCTACATGGTACCCTCTCAAAACAAAAGTAAAAGCAACAGAAAGGTAAGCATGAAAAAAAAGCTTAAGAGAACCCACCCCACTTAAAAAGTAAAATACCTGTGGTGTCCTGGGAGTCTAGCTCAGAAGAGCCAATCTGAGAATGTGCTGAGACGGTCACAGTTGGTGGGATAGCACCCATGTCGGATTGTCTTCTCTGTCTCAAAGGCTTTGGGGCTCATCTTTGAGAGCAGACTCCAACCTCTGAAGATTTGAAGTTACGTTTTCTTCTTTGCTGCTGCTTTCATAGACCTACAGTAGAATTGGGGGGTTGAATGGACGCTGCAGGTCATCGGAGCTACCGATCTTGTGTGGTGCCAGCATGTGACTAGGGCATGGCTGATGAATGTCCTACCTCTGCAGGACACCGCCAGGGACACTGAGCCCTCCCCCAAGCAGTCTTTGCCATTCTAAACTTCGACTCTTAGATAAGGTGATTTGGAAATGTCACTTCTACAGCAGAGGCGTAGCAAACCCTGGACCTTCCTGGGTCTCTTCCTCCGTGGCTTCTTACAGCTTGGATCGTTTCCCGGAAATTTGTTTTTGACAGATGCTCAACCTTATCTCCTTCATACTCTATATGATGGGACGTATTTAGGATCCAGCTAAAAAACAAGAAATACTCTTGTTTACATAAATAGAAAGCTCGGCGATCAATGAGGGAAAGAAAGGCCCTTTAGCCTCAGCCAGTGATAATCCCAAGAAACTGTGCCTTTTGGAACATCCTATCATGGTGCCCCTACTATCCAAGCAATTTGCTTATCTGTCTGGCTTCAGAGTTTCCGTAGAAGACCTGCTGCCTTCAGAATATTCCCCAGCCCTTACTTTGATGCCTGCATTTCTACCAGAAGAAGTTTGTTATTGAACATGAGTTTTATTGAAGGGGTAAGGGCTGGGAGGTGACTCACTCAGTCAGGTGCTTGCCTTATAAGGAAGGACCTCAGTTCTTCCACCAGACCCCAAATACAAAACTAAGAAACAAAAAACACTGGGCAGGTTATTGCATACCTTTCTGCATAGGGATGGCAGACAGGTGGATCCCTGGGCTTCACTGGCCAGCTGGCCTGGCCTACTCTGAACTCAAGCCAGTGAGAAGATACTGTTTCAAAGAACAAGGTAGATGGAACCTGAGGAACAGTCCCCAAGTTTGATCTCCTGGTACACATCTCATGCTCGAGTACGTTTTACACACACACACACACACACACACACACACACACACACACACACACACACACACAGCATGGGCCAAGGAGATGGCTTATTAAGCTATTGGTAGTCATTGCATTAGAGCATTAATCATTTTTAGATCCATTCCTGGAAGTTCCTTTGAATGGATACTGGTGGAGAGGAGAAATGGGGCTCTGTAGATCAGGAGGACTCCTTGGGCGCTGGGGAGGGAAAAGGACCACTGGGCAGGAGAGCAGAAAAGAAAGAGCATTTCTGAGTGTCAGGTAGGAGCAGCACGCACAGTGTGATTTCTCACCACAACCCTGTGAGTTCAGGTGTTTTTACATATGAAGACAGAAGACAGAGTGACCTGACCAGATAGATCATGGGGCAGGAGGGGGGTGAGGGCTGGCAGGACACGGCTGGGATTTAAACCAGAGCTGCCTAATCCAGACTTTCATTCCAAAGATACCAGGTGCTGTCCTTGAGAAAAGGGTAGAGAACTGGGAAGCCGAGCCGCAATCGCCTCCTTCAGAATTTTGCAGACGGCTGACCCTGTCTGCAAGTAACATTTTGCAATCACCCATGTAGAGCAAGAAAAATCTTCTAATGCTAACTCATCTTGAGTGTGGCTTTCTTCTTACATAAAATTTATGTAACATCACAAGCTAGTTTACATGTAATAAGATACTTGTTTATAAAGAGCCACTTGTTCAGAATATTTTTAGTGTTTCCCCCCACCCTCCTCATTGTTATGGATACTTTCCTGCTGTCTAGAGAAAATGGGCTGTGGCCATACTCTCTTCAGAGACTTGCATGATGCTCACATGAAAGCCGGTGATGTCCTTTCTGACTTCTGAGCCCTCCTGAAGGCTCTGAGATACCACCCTGAGTCAGGATAAGCACAGGTCCACTTAGGGAATGATAAAGGAAAAATTCTTAGTTTTTTTTCCCCCAAATAAGTCACATGAGCCTACTTGGCAGCGCCATTTTACCCCTTCCTCCCCGCTCAGTGCCTTCTTGGGGTTGTTTTCTGCCTCTCACTCTCGATGCTTTGGGGGGAACAGGCAGAGTGGAGGGGTAGCTTTGTAAAGGCGGGTCTCCTCCCTCCTTCGCCTGCGTGTTCTTTCCCAGCTACCACAAAACCACACTTTCTCTACTAAGCACACATTCCTAGGACTCGAACAAAAGGCTTCTGTGAGCCGAAAAGCGGCGGGCAGGGTGCAGCAGAGGCCTGAAGATTTAGAGGGTTTCATTTCTTCCTTGCTGGGGGCTGTATTGTGTTTGGATGCAGTTTGGAATCTCTTTCACCGCCACAGGGGGGAACTGAAATGTGCCCTAAAGCTTCCCAGAGACCTGTCTGATCTTTATCCTCCTGACACAGTGACTTTTTGCCTCTGGAATTCTCAGAGCCACCGCCCCCCCATACTCAGCAGACCCCAGGAAACGAGCTCTGAGGCCTCAGACCAAGGAAGGGAACCCTGTTAGTGAGGTTCTGCCATCTGAGCCTCAGTTTACCTGGATAGCCTTTGCTTTGCTGAGTGTCTCCTTGGTCAGGCCTGTTCATGCCAGCAGCGCCAACAGCCATGGGAACCTGCCCTCAAAGGACAGTACACTTCATTGTTATAGGGGAGAATGAGGAAATGGGAATTTTCCATCCTTCCTATTGGGGAGAATTGGATTCCACAAGAGAAAGTCGCAGCTTTAAAAAGAAACGCGCACACCCAGGTCCCTCTGCACCGAGTTGGCAAGCCTTCTCCCCTGCCTGGTAGTTCCAGACACTGTGAACCAGGGGTTGGCCATGCTGCTGAGCTCCTGCGTTTTCAGTAGCAAGTTAATGTGGCCATGACTCAGAATTACAGGACCCCAGACACCAAGGAAGTGAACTAACTTCTCTTCGGCTCACAGTGGACTCATAGGCAGCAAAATAGTTTTCGTGTTCTAATGAAGCAGTGTAGAAAGCCCGTCCTCGGTGGCTCCCACACTGTGCGAAGTCTGCCCCTGCCCACTTCACTGCTTGCCGGCTCATTCTTTCAACCCATCCTCCCTCAGAACCGAGAACCTGAAATCCAGCTCAAGTTGTTGCAAAGAGCATTGCTGAACTTAACCTTGAACAGACTTGCTGTGATAAGCTTGTCCGGGGTGCATATTGTGTCTTGAGCTTGGAGATGGCTGGGAAAACCTTTCACTCCTTTTAAGGAGAGCCTGGATGGTTAGTGGGCGGGGCCTTGAGCACAGAATTAACAACAATAATACAAAGAAATACACATAGAAAGTGCAAACTTGATCTTGAAGAACAGCTTGCGATTATTACGTAACACCTTCCTTCCAAGGACTACCAAGAACTTCCCTGTAAATTTTGCCCAGTTCTCACAGAGCATGAATTATTTCCCAGAAATGATTTAGGCTCTTTTGGAAAATGCATTGATTCTTTTAACCGTCATGATCCCACTTACAGTAAAACCACTATTATCTGATTTTCTGTGAGTTGTAAAGCTATTATTAACGGGCACATTATATATTTTACCAGTACAATGACAGCTGATGTGTATAATGGTGACCCCACAGTTTCTTAAGACCCTGAATTGCCCACTCAAGAATCAAAGGAAGATTGACTGTGTATTCAGTCGAGTTTTTCATGTTAAGAGTCTTATTATATTCAAGTTCTCTTTAGAGGAATACAAGTGTGTGCCTGCCATGATTTTCTGTGGCTGCACCAATTCAAAATCTATCCATTCTTGCTTGGTCATGTGATTGAACTCTTTATTTTTAAGAAAAGTATACCTTTTCAGTAGTAGGGTCTAAGTTACAAATGATATGACCTCATATTTGAAAGGAACCAGTTTACTTTGATTTTTAGCTTTATTTTTTAAGTGCGTGCGTGTTTGTGTGTTTGTGTGTGTGTATGTGTGTGTGTGTGTGTGTGTGTGTGTGTGTGTACACCTGAATGTATGTATGTGCACCACGTCCATTGTCCATTGTAGGTACTCATAGAGGCCAGAAGAGGGGGATCAGATCCTGGATCTGGAGTTAAAAATGGCTGTGAGCTGCCAGTGTGGGTGATGGGAACCAAACCTGAGTCCTCTGCAAAGGCGGCAGGTGCTCCTAACCACTGAGCCATCTCTCCAGCCTCCAAAGTTTACCCTTTAAAGTGTTGCTACAGACATAAGTGTCATAAACATATGTACCAAAGTACGAGACAGATCACTGCACACAGTCACCACCCTTACCCTTTCAGATCTTAGTTCAGCAGTGCTTGTACTGAGTCGTGCCTGGCTTTGACACTGTCTGTCACTCAGAAGCAGTTTAGCATCTGCCTGTCACTCAGAGCCTGCTGTGGTTTAGGGTCCTCATCGTGAGTGGCTCAGATTAATGTGCTTTTGTTGTGGTCAGTCTCTCCCCCCCCCCCTTATATAATTACCTAAGGGCTTAAGTCAAAAGCAGGTCAGAGGGGAGTGATGTGAGCAGAGGATACCTGTCCGGCGCCGCCTGGGTCTTGTATCACGCCTTCGTAAGGAACCTCAAATAAGACTTCCATCCAAGGTAGCTGTGGCTCAGTTGTGCAGACCCGGGATGGCTTCTGTATACTGGGCTCAGGAAACCAAGAGCTTAAGCCAACAGGAGCCTACAGAAGAAGGAAGCAGAGACCTAGAGCAACAGAAACGGGCGTGCCTTCCTCTCCCCTGGTTCATCAGTTCACACAGCTGCCTGGAGAAGCCAAGCCACTGCCACACACCAGGCTATCTGCCTATCGCTTACTGGTTATAGTGATTTCAAAGAATCATCATGTTCCTTACCTCGGTGGATGCAAGGCTTCTAATTCTGTATCCAATGTTCCCGAGAAGAGGGGACTTCCTTTTTAGATGGATGGTTCCCGGGGTCTAGTTGTAAACAGGATAATTGCTCCTGGAGCATCTTCTTGAAGGGCACAGACCCATGGTGTCACCTCTGGCTTGGGAGTCCAGTGTATTTGCTGAGTTCTGGGCTAAGAGCTGGCCCAACCTCTTAGTGGTTCAGTGGCTTTAAAGGACACCACTTAGCTCCTTCCCTTCATGTTGCTCAGCAGGAAATAAGAACAATCATGCCCATTCCACTTCCTCTCCTGGCTAATGTGATGCCAAGTGAGATCAGGTGTGTAAATGCTCTCTCCACCCAAGTGCTGCCAGCCATTCTTGGGATTTGAATCTAAGGAGGACATCAGGAGAAGGGTCTGGTATCTATAGGGATTTGTGTGTGACAACTCTGTAAACTAATTTCTGCTGATAATTCGACGTCTAGCCGATTAGTAAGACAGATTTCTAGAAAAAAACGCATGGCAGGTGTAAGGTGTGTCCAGTTTTAATATTCAAACTGAGCTGATGAGACCACTCAGCAGGTGAAGACACTTGCCCCAAGCCTGATGGCCTGGGTCTAGGCCTGAGTCTAGTCCCTGGGACTTACATGGTAGAAGGAAAGGACTGACTTGTAATCCTTCTACGTCCGCCTCCCAGGTAGCTGATTACAAGCATGCATACGGCCAGCATACCTGGTTACTTGAAAGGTTCTCTGACACTTTTTAGTGGCTACACTAGTCCCAGCCAGCCACATGGCCAACTTCAACTGCCCAGGCCCTTACTAAGATGCATTCCTTGGTCTTGGTTATGTCTCTCTTGCTGTGATAAAACACCATGACCCAAAGCAACTTGAGGAGGAGAGGGTTTATTTGGTTTAGAGGCTGCAGTCCATCATCAGGGGAGGCTAAGGCAGGAACTTGAGGCAGAAACCTGGAGGCAGGAACAGGAGCAGAGACCATGGTGGAACAAGCTTACTTACTGGCTTGCTCGGCCTGCTTTTGTATACCGCCCAGGACCACCTGCCCAGTAGCGGGCTGGATTCTCCCACATCAAACACGAATCGAGAAAATGGCCTACAGGTTTGCCTGTAGGCACTCACTCTCAATAGTGGTTTCTCTTCCCTGATGACTCTGGCTTGTGTCAGATGGACAAAAATCCAACCAGGACAAGGGCCTACACAGCCTTATATTTGAAGTTTGTTGCCTAGTCGGATACATCAGTAACACCCTGACAGCTTCAACACGTTGTTCTAGAAATTACGCGTGTCTGCCAAGTGCTCTGGAAACAAGACGGGAAGAAAGACGCTAAGGCATCTTAGAGGTGACTCCAGGTACAGGCTTCAAAAGAGAGAGGTGAGGGCTGGGCGAGGTGGCCCAGCGTCAGGAGTGCCTGGGGTACAAGCGTGAGGACCTGCGTTCAGACCCCCGGGAGCACGTAAAAGGGCTGGACATGGCCACGGGACCGTAACCCCAGAGCCTATGGCCTCTGCACATACTCACACAGGCAAGTGCGTGCGTGCAGCGACACATTGACACACCCCCACACACCACGTTGAAGGGATATGTTTCAGCAGGCAAAAATGTGGAAGAAGCCGGGCGGAGCGGACGTGAGAGCAGAGGCAGACGGGGAGAGGGCTTGGACAGTCAGGCGTGATAGACAGCTGGGGGAAAGCCTAGAAAGGTGTCTACGGGGCTTAGGTTAGAAGGTTGCATGACTTTCAGCCAAGCATGTGGCATAGGCCTGTGATCCCAGGTCCTTGAAAGGAGGATCACAAGTTCTAGGCCAGCCCGGGCAGCTTATTTAAACTGCCTCAAAATAAAATTTTAGACAGAGTCAGGAGTGTAGCTCAGTCGTAAAACTCTTGCCTGGCATGCACAAGGCCCTGGGTTCAATCCTCAGCACTACAAATAATAAAGATTAAAAAGTATACACTTAGGTAAGAGCCATGAAGTTTTTTTGATCAAAAGAATAACAGGTTTGATTCCGAAAGACTTTTCAAGACCACACTGTGTGTTCTCTCTGAATGTTTGCCGTGGGTTTAGTTTTATGCCAACTACAGCATGGTGTCTCCGGGTCTAAAAGGTCACTTCCACAAAAGAGCAGAATTGTTGGACAGAATGAAACTGAGAAGATGCTTCCCTCAAGTGGGTCCTGGGAGTACTCTTCAAGGCTTAGGGTTCCCCAAGAAGTTTCCCCCTCTCCCTGTAGTTGTTGCCTGCAGGCACCCCGTTTTCTAGCCCGGCGGTCCCACCAGGTTCTCTGCACATTCCAGCTAGCCTCGCTGCCTGGCTGGGGTCAAGCAGCTCCCCTTCACTCCCCACTCAGCCCATCTTACTGCCTCCTCTGGCTCGGTGGAAATGGGCGTCTCTTCCTGAACACAGAGACCTTTTTCCTGAGTTCTGGCTCTTCCACAGCAGCCTCGCCCGCTGCCTACCCCCGTTCTCCCTCCGTGGTCAGCCTGCCAGGCTTTCGCCCCTCATCTTCAAAGGAATCTGTCTAGGTTCTGCAGTGCCCTTCGCTGTCACTCACAGTCACGTGTTTCTGCATTCCCCGCCTCCCACTTACTCCTCCAGCGGTCGTCGCTGTCCTCCGCTCTGACTCCAGTCCACTGGACACTCACACGCAGTTTCTCCTGACTCTCCCCTGACTTGTCCCCTGCTGTCTCATTCTTCCAGAATACACCTCTTATAAATAGTTCACTCCTTAAATGTGTTCTTGGGGAAATCCATCTATGATCATGGCCTCAGCGAGCAGTATGATGGAGACAACAAAATTTGAATGTATGTATGCCTCAAGTCCTTCTCCACAAGTACATATACTGATACAGTTACCTTCTTTACTGGATGTCCATAGTCAACAAAATTGACCCATCTTTCCACATCCTCCCCCCCCCCTTTGGCCTGACCTGGGAGGGTATCACTGTCTGGTAAAATTCAAGAGCCCAGGTTCTGCCATTGACTGTTTCCTTCACACTGAGTTCCTCTTCCTGTTCATCTGTCCTTCCGCTGTAGTATCTCGAGTCCGCCCTTTCTTCAGTCCTTCTGTTTTAGTTCATGTTAACAATGTCTGTCATCTGTTTCTGCAGGAGCCTCTTAGCTGGTCTCCTCGTCTTGCCCTGATGTGATTCATTCTCCCCTG